AAATCGGAACTCAAGTATTCATGGAAGTTTAGTCACTTGAACAAAAAGCTCGACTCTAATAGAATATTTCGAAGGAAGACACAATAACCTTCGAAGCAGAAGCTATGTGAGGCACGACAACAGCATTCTTCATATCTGCAAGCCTGGGTTTCATGTACGGCTCATCCTAATCGGAATGTAAATTATGTAAGCCAAACACATGATTATTTTTTGTCCTAATTTGTGATGTAAGGATATTATCGTATTTCGTAAGTTGTTACCTCAAAAACATCAAGACCAACCCGAAACATAGGATTCGCTTTCAAATGCTCGACTAGAGCAACCTCGTCGATAACAGGTCCCCTACTGCAGTTCACAAGAATGGCTTCCTATTAAAAAAATAATAATTAATTAACACAAAATCACGAAGTCTAATAAAAAAAGTCAACTAGAATAATATTCTATTATAATTGAAATTTATAAACTCATTGCCTTCTTCATAATCGCAAGGCTTTTTTTATTGACGAGATGGTAAGTCGTTTTGTCCAGCACAGGATGAAGACTAATCTGCAAAAAAAAAAACCCATTGACATATAACACCATTTATCATTGCATTTCAACAAAATTTCATATAATTTGTGAGAAGTTGTGTACTCATACGTACCACATCAGCTACTCGAAGTACCTCCTCCATTGTCGAGGCCCTTCTCCATGTAACGGGCTGTTCGCCATTGTTTTTCAAGAATTGTCCATAAGCTGCAATATTTCAAAAAAACCGAAAAAAGTTGAGTAATTTTGTGTATATCGCCTAAGAGAGTGATCGAGCTTTCTTAGATGAAAGACGTGCCTGTGACAAACTTTTCGAGACGAGTGGCTTGGTAGAGATCGTAGTATATTAAGTTCATTTTGAACCCTTCAACCTATCGGCAGAGCAAATTTTATATAATAAAACTAGGAAATCTAACTCATTCATCGGATGTGAGAAAAATAAACAGAGAAGAATGTATAAATTCAAGACATTCTTTTGCAGAATATTTACCAACTTAAACTCAGAATGTGAAGTTTTTGTTTTTTATTATTACCATCATTCTAGCATAAGCGGACCCGATTCGACCTGCTCCAATCACACCAACTGTTTGTCCTTTGAGTAAGTTCCCAACAAACCTATATAATAAACAAGGAAAAAAGGGGAACAAAAAGTAAACATAGTTGAAAAACATATGTTCTCTTATTATGAGTAATAGTGGACAATCATACAGATGAGGAAGCCATCCATCATATAAGCCAGCCCTCATAAACACATCAGCTTCAACAATTCTTCTTGCTGCCGCTAAAGACAGTGAAGCTGCCAGCTCAGCTGTAGTCTCTGTGAGTACTCCCTTATAAAATCATATATATTCAGTCAAATGAACCAAACAAGTTCCCGAATCGAAATTCTAAAGCGCTCCTTCCCAACAGAGGAGAATTGAACATATACATATTACATCGTATCGGTCTTTTTTCGAACACATTGTCGAATTTCATGTTACGAAGCCAATCTGAGATGAATTTGCACTTTCTAAACTAGACATTAATGAGAATTAAAAAAAAAAAAAAAAAAAAAA